GGTGATTTTTTTATTTAAATTTTAAATAAAAAATATTATTTTGTGTCTATCTCTTTATGTCATTTAAAATGACAAATACTTTTCACACATTTAATTTATAAATACAAAATGTTTATTTAATTATCTTAATTTTTAAAATAAATAATATTTTGCTCTTTCAAATATATACTTGCATCACTTTGATTCTCTACAGGAGTGTTAACAGGTTGAGCCGAGTCAAGTTTTGGTCTTAAAAGATTAAATTTGTGTTTAAATGTGTTGGCCTAATCAAACTTGTTACCTGTTATGAATATAATTATCGACATGTGGTCTGGCTTATTTACAAAAAATGAAAGGCTGATTTGGCCTGTTTAAAAAAATAAGACAATAAAAATTTATCCAAACAGAATGAACAATCAACAACACTAGTAATTCTATAATATTCATAAATTCAATATATATCCAAACAGTATAATATAGAACGAAATCATTCAAAAAAATATGTTTAACCAATAAAATAAAATAAAACGGATTGAGGAGAGAAACAAAAGACCCTTCACTGCGAATGAAAAGTGAAAACCATTCTAAGTGATCGTGATCCATTTATGCTCTATTTTGTTTGAGGTTCGTGAATCTAAAATATTAATTGATACATGAACTTTTCTGGTATTATTGAGGCAAAATCAATTTGTGTGTGGTTTGATAAAATATCCTTTTAACTTAATATTATATCACTATTCTAATAATATTTATATACAAAAAATCATATCCTTTTGTATAATCATGGATCATAAAATATTTTTATTAATAATATCTGATTAACATTCATATGTCAAAATTATTTTTTAAAATAAATATTTTCGAACATTAGTTAATCCAGTCAAATCGCTTTTAACCAAAATTTATTTTGTTAAAATGAAATCTATTCAAAATTAATTTTGTAAACTTTATATATAAACACAAAATTAATTTTCAATAGACAATCACGAAACTTGTGACATTAGGATCAATTTGACATTTTTATTAAAAAAGGATTAAAATAACATTAATTATATTTTTAAATTGAGATAGGTTCCTTTGACACCGGTGTCAAACTTTAAAATTTAACACCAAATCATAATCGTTGATTTTCGTCAATCAATGGTTATCATTTATTGAGAATCAAACTTATTAATTAACTATTAATTCCTAATAAATAATAACCGTTGATTGACGAAAATCAACAGTTAGGATTTGATGTCAAATTTTTAAAGTTTGACATCGGTGTCAAAGGATCCTGCCCAAAATTAACTTTTATTTTAACTTTTACAATTGACCCATCACTAATTAATTTATAGATATACCCTACTCATATTCCATACTTTTAAGTTTGTTTTTCCCACATCCCATACGAATTACATTTTTTTTATTTCATAATTCTAATTATTTATTTAAGACGAATCAGATTTTTTAGATATTCTTATACTCCGGACAAGAAAAGATATCTGTACAAGTATAGAATTTATTTCAAGTCGAGCGATATAACAATTATCTAGCATTAGTTGCAAACTCAAATCAATCAAATTTTTTTTTGAAAATAGAGCTAAAACATTGTCATATCGCTCTACTCAAGATTAATTTTATACATATACAAATCCTTTTTCGGCCCAAATTATGAAAATTTCGAAAATCTGACTGCTGAAATGAATAATTAGGGTCATCAAATTTACATTATGCTAACTTTGAATATTGTTAAATGTTTAAAAAAAACATCGTGGCATATATACACAAGATTATTATCTTAATTATTTTGTATAAAACTGTAAGTTTCTTATAATTTTTGACGTTTACGACTCCAACTATTGGCCAGCTTTAAATTTTTGTTGCATGCTTGTACGTGGCGAACCTTTTTAGGTCAATATTCCCTCTCACTAAGTTCCACGTAAGTCCATTCCCATTTCCCACCTAAGATATCAGTGATAGAAATCAACCCCACAAAAAATATTAAACAATTTGTAGTACCAAAAAATAAATCAAAAATAAAAATATTCAATGAGAAAAAAATGTTTAGTACAATTTTTTTAAAATATTATTTATTGTTTTTTATCTTTTATATCTCAAAAAATGTGTTTGAAGGGATAGTTAATAAAAAAATTAATGGAAAAAAACTAATATAAATCGGATGTATATAAAGGATAAGGTATTATACTTATATTTTTTTAAACTTACTCTAGTTACTCATTTTCCGTACCATTATATTAGAATTTCGAGAAGAAAAATATAATAAATATTAATTAAAATTTTAATTTATTAGTCCAAAAAATAAGTTAGTAGAGTAAGTATGAAAAATATAAATATAATATTATATCCTGTAATATACAAATGATTTTTTTTTAATTTTAATTTTCATAATAATATAATAATAAAAAGTAAGACTAGGTAATGATTGGTAAGTCATCGAACAAGGGCCGTTGATTTTACTGACGTTGGCAATCTCAATCACATGCGTCGAATTCCCAATTTGACAAACACACGGGAGAAGGAGGTTGAGGAGGGCGCGTGAATTTCGCGAGCTGCGGACAGAGCGTGCCCTTCCCTCGCCTTCGAGGAGCGCGTCGATTTATTACGTGTTGGCGCTTTGTATGATCCGTTGTGTGAACCGATAAACCCCGGTTGCCACCAAACACGGGGTCCACTTTTTGAAATGACCAGATTACCCCTCCAAACTCAGGGTGAGCTGTTTTTCAGTTAGGCGATGATCACACGAACTGTGAGCCAAACTGAAGGCTTTTTGAAAAAAATAATGTGCCCAAGTGAAATGACGCTTTACACTAATGCCATATATAATATTGTTTAAAAAAAATTTATGTCACTCTCGTCACTTCCTTTCAGTTTTTCGTTCTATTTTATTATTTATTAATGAGTTTTTTAAAAAAATTTAAAATCAACTTTCATATTAAATTATTGCACCTTTTACGGTCACACCACATAAAAGTATTTTCTTATATATATATATATATATAGGGATAGGATATACTTACCACTAAAAAAATTTATCATTCTTACGACTAATTTAATTACCGATAATTTTCGTCAATCTAATGATTATAATTTATTGAAAATTAATAATTAATTAATAAATGTGACACAATAAATGTTATTAATTTTTAATAGATTATAACTGTTAGAATGACGGAAATCAACGGTGATTAAATTAGTTGTAAGAGTGGTAAACTTTTTTGGTGGTAAGTAGAGCCATTCTCATATATATATGAGGTATGATCCTTTGACAACAGTATCAAATTTAAAATTTGACACATCATCTGAGAGTCATTAGATCAAAAAAGATCAATAGTGTCATATATTTATAAATCAGAGTCGTTGATCTTCTTTGATCTAATGGCTCTCAGATGAGATGTCAAATTTCAAATTTGACACTAGTTTCAAAGGATCATGCATCTATATATATATATATATATATATATATATATATATATATATATATATATATATGAGAAAAACATTTCTCCGGCAAGATAAGTTTATCTTCGGTCATCCCAAACTAATGTCATTTTATTTATTTATTTCCTTATATTAATTGATTCACCTTTGAATGGTTATGATTCTCTTTTTCTATCTCTTCTTTTATCACCATTGCTCCATCTTTGTACGGTGTTATGGACCCACATAAGGGGCCCATTAAGTGATAGGCCCAACAAGGGGCAATCCAAGATATGAATCAGTAATGATCATGGATAGATATCCATCAAGGATACTAATCCTAATACGACAGCATAGCAAGTAGGCCTGGGCCCTTATCAGAGGCACTAGAGGCCCATTCACACTACCCACAGGTAACCTCTATAAATACAAGGTATGTTACCCATTCACACTAATCCTAAAGGTACGTTACGCTCTTTCTCTTACTGTTATGCTATCACTAGACGCGCACACACACCCCATTGGCTAACGCTGTTATAGTATTTTGTGCACAGTGATCTGCTTGTCTCAAGGGTATCTCCTTCATAGATACCTTGGAGAGGGCACTAGATCCAAGAGAAACATACCAGCCTATTGGGCTAGACATCTCTGTCCCAAGGACAGAACATTGGCGTCATCTGTGGGGACATTCTTCTCTGAATTTGAAGTTCCCACCAATCTGACGAAGGATGGCAATCCAAACAAGGAGCAGTAGCCAGCAGCCACCCCAAAACCAGAATCAACCGCTGGATCCAGTTCTGGAAAAGGTAAAGCAGCCTCAACACAAGCTAGGAAACGATGTGGACTATGATCATGCACATGTCAGTGAGGATGTCTCGGACACCGCTTCCACTCCAGCGCGTCATGATAGGGGCGCGACTCTAATTATGGCTCCAGTAAGAAACAACCCTCCCCAGCATCCTGGCGATCTTGCTGCGCGTATTGCCCAATCAGCCGATCCAGATACTCGGTTGGCTCAAAATGCATTTGTTGCGATTATGCAGCGAATTACAGAGATGGAAACTCGTAATAACCTTCAACGGCAACAAGATTTCCAGGCAATACGAGAGGAAAATAAAAAGGGAATGCGAGACCTGGAACAACGCTTAACGGAGCTAACTGGACCAGGGGCAACAGAAAATGAAGGCCAGCATGCCAATGGTCGGGAAGGAAGTCGCAACTTGGTTCTTCATAACCAGGTTGCTGAAGTGGAAAACCGTGAAAGGCTCAATCCGGTGAACGCAACGAACCCGAACCTGGAAAACCAGATAGCAGATGGCCAAAACACTGCGGCACAAGCCATGAATCAAAACACTTCAATAGAAGCAAATGGGCAGAGACACCAAGATGAAACCCGCCCCAACCGGGATGTACAGATCATTAGAGGACAGGTGGAATCTGGTGCCTACAGGAGGAAATACAGCAGGGGGCAGTATAATAACAGACCTTTCACTGGGGAGATTTTAAATGCACCCTTCCCATAAGACTTTGATTCGGCGCAACTACCGAAATATGATGGAAGTCAAGACCCACAAGTCCATATCGACGCTTTTGATACAGACATGTACATCCGAGGGACAGATGAGCCTCTTATATCTCGGATATTTGCCATAACCCTGACTGGGGCTGCGCAGGCTTGGTTCTCTACCTTACCTGCCAACTCCATTGGGTCTTTTGAGGAATTTGGGGAGAAATTCCTCTTAAATTTTGCGACAAGAAAGAAACATCCGAACTCTGAGTTCTCACTTGGAAAGATACGACAACAACCTGGAGAAACCCTCCAAAGATACCTCAATCGGTTCAAGGACGCTGCATTGCAGGTGCCGGGTTTACAAGAGAATGTTCACGTACATCTCATTATGGCTAGTTTGGATGGTGCATCCAGGCTAGCCAAGTCGGTTTATAAGGACCCGATGAGGACGTTGGAAGAATTCAGAACCCGTTCTAAGAAGTACCTCGAACTCGAGCAAATGGAGATTGCAAATGCGCAATTTGAAGAGGGTAAAAGAATGAGCCTGAGAAAGAGAAGCCTGGCCCCGAAAGGAAAAGAAAGAGATGACAATAAGAAAAAAGACTCAAGAGCCAGAATCCCGGATGGCCGAGATAAAGTTGGAAGATATGAGAAGTACACACCGTTGAACGCACCACGCTCTCAAATCTGGAGGGAAGTGGCAATGACGGAGATGAAGAAAGTAGAAAGACCCCGGCCCATATTTGACAGAGGAGGTCTGGACAAGTCTAAGTACTGTGCTATCCACGATGGTCCGGGTCACACTACCGATCAATGTTGGGATCTCCGAGATGCAGTGGAGAAATTTGTTAGAGATTGAAGATTACGCCAGTACGTGATCAAAATCCAGGGTTCCAAAAATAAAAAAAAGGAAGTCGAAAAACAGAAATAAAAGTAAAAGCCCGGTTCCTAAAAAGAAAAACAAGGATGAAAGGAATCAAAAAAATGATTCCAACCATGACGAGTTTCCAGAAGCGGAATTTGATTGCAATGTAATAAGTGGAACCCTTGGAGGAGGAGGAGACACTGTAAGTGCCAGAAGAAAGTATTTGAATGAGTTCCTCTCTATTCGGGACCGTCCTAAATTCAAGGAAGACCTAAGCAAACCAGACCCTCATCTCTTGTATTTCACAAAAGAAGACATGCATGGTGTGTTACCGGGACACGTAGATGGATTAGTCATTGCTGGAACCTTGGTAAATTACCGGTTTAAGAAGATTGTCGTTGATACAGGGAGCAGTGCCGACATCATACTGTGGGATGCTTTCAAAAAGATGAATCTGGATGAGGAGGACCTCAAACCTTGCAAAACAACCTTGATAGCTTTTAATGGAGAGCA